GCAGTATGACCCAATTTGCAATAGTAATAGCATTTAGCCCTTGATCCGTTTAGGGTTCAAGCTTTAATAAAATTAGTTTTGTGAATCCTATTGACGATGGGAATAACTTATCCTTCTCCCACCATACTTTAGCCTCTATCTCCCATCAAAATAGTTTCTAAAGGACTTCAAAGACTTCTTGACTTTACTAGGATGACCCCTAAAAATTAACTTTCTATTAACATTTCTAGTTTTTTGAATTGGGGATTGTCATAGAGTTTTTCTAATTTGATTGCATTGTCTTCCGTGGACTAATCTTCATTTAATTGAATCATTGGAAGACAAACTTATCTTTCTAAGGAGTTCATCATTTTTTGCTCTTAATAATTTATTCTGCTCAGAAATGATTTGAAGGGAAGTTTTTTTAATCTATCACTCTCATTTCTTATTCACCATTTTTAGTAGATTTAAATCAAATGAACTAACTAAGAGTATTATTCTCTCCATTTGATTCATCAGACTAAGCCTTATAAATTTTCCCTAAGCCCTTTGTTCTTAATAATTATCCTTTTATTTATCTCTATCAATTCTTGAAAAAGCATAAATTAAATCATTCTCATTAAAATTAGAATGTAGAGACGGGGAGTTAGGACGTAACTCTTCATCCTTAGAAATAAAGCACAGATTGACGTGTTCCTCCTCTAATTCATCATCGCTTGAGCTTGACAAGTGGTATTTAGTGCCTTCTTCTTCTTCTTGACTTTGGATTTCTTCTTAAGGTTTGAGCAATATTGTATAAAGTGCCCTTCTTGCATTCATGGAAAGTAGGCTTCTCTACAGGCTTCTGAGTAGTGGAATTCCTTTGCTTCTCAAGAACCTTATGAACCCTCTTAAGAGTTATGCCATGTCATCATCATTATCATTGCTTTCTTCAGCTTTATTCCTCTCTCTTGTAGTAGACTTGAGGACAATGTTTTTGCTCTTGTATCCCTCTTCTTATTTCTCCATTAATCTCTTCTCATAGGTAAGAAGAGACACAATCAGCTCATCCATTGTCATTGAACTTAAATTTCTAGACTCTTGGATGGTTGTTACTTATTTCCCACTCCTTAGGAAGAGATCTTAATATCTTTCTCATTTTCTCTTCCTTAAAGTAGGACTTCTTGTTGACAATATTTGTGAATCTTGTAAACATGTTAGTGATGCATTCTTGTGGCTTTATCTTGAAAAGATCATATGCATGCACCAAGATACTAAATTTGGACTCCTTAACCAAGCTAGCTAATTCCTTAATATAACTTCTAAGTTTCTTCATATTTTTGGGTTGTTTAAAAAATAGAGATCCTATTGAACTCATTCTCGTCCAGAGCATAGTATAAACAATTTATATCTCTAGCAATGAGAAAAACACTTTTCTTGTCATCCTTTGTCCACTCTCCTTTCAACCTTGGTCAAACTAGGGTTTTGGGAGAACTATTCTTTGTGATAATTGTTCTCTCAATTCTCCTAAATTCTATCTTATATAGACTTGGACACATAGAATCCTAAAAAGAGTTTATCAGATTTCTAATTAAATTAGAATTTCTCCAATTAGTAATTAATCTTAACTAAATTAGGACCATGAGAGAATAAGTCCAACTACATATTTTCCTAGTCATACTAGGTGTGTAACTAATTAAATTAGTCCAATTTGATCTCTTGAGTGAATCTCCTCACCTCTTTAACTAGTCAAATTGACCTAAACCTTGTATGGTGTGGACCCACTAAGTTCCCAAAATAAACTATTAAGGGTTTGGCCTTTGTATTAAAAATAGATTGGTAAAATTAGGGCTGTTCATAAGAAGGCCCAACTCAACCAAACCAACCAACCCAACTCGAGTCGGCCAGTTTTCATCAGCACGGGTCGGTTTCGGGTTGTGCAAATTCTTAAGCCGATGATTCGGGTTGGTTTCGGTTTTCTTGTGTGAAAACCGAAACTGACTTGAACTGAACCGACTTAGTTCCTAGTTCAAACATGAAGTTCCAAAGCCCATTAGGCCACCTAGTTTTTGAATGGTTGCAAAAAACTTTGGATTAGTGAATAGTGAATAATGAACAACTTTTGTAATTAATTTTTCATTTAAATTTTATCATAGGAGATGGCTGAAATGATGTTCAAGTTATGACTGTTTTTAAAATTAGCAAGATTTTATCACATGGATGAACTTAGAACCGAAACCGACCGGAACCGACCCTACCCAACTCAAACCGACCAGGTCGAGTCGGTTGGAAAAACTATAGTAAACCGACCCAATCCGACCCGTGAACAGCCCTAGGTAAAATTCAGTAGTTGGAGCTAGTGGATCGCCTACCCAATCTAATTGGGCCTAKAACCGACCCATCACTTAAATACAAGTGGAGTTTGGTTTTAGCCATCCTATGAGCCTAGACCTAATGATTTAATTTGAGAAAAATGCCCATCAGGTTTTAGTCCAAGAAAACATTCACTCTTAACCTCTCAGCCAATAACATCACACTATCCATACAAAATGACTTCTTCTCTAAATAAAAGATACAATGCCACACCTTCTTCTTAGATGAATCCTCGGCTTAAAACCATTTTTCAAACACAAATAAACTATTTATAGATATAAGTACATTTTGAAAACTAATCTCAAAACCAAATTGAAATTCATTATTTGTGATTTTAGGTTTCCATCAGAGAGAGTGTAAAGTAGGATATTCTCTTTGTTTGGCAAAGTGGCTGATCCTATCACAATGACCACCCACTTAAGTGATATTCCAAACTACTCCAACATACTTAGGTATTTAACATTTGATGGATCTCACTGATTAACATATTAAAAGAAACAAAGTCCAATACTTAGTGTATCATCAAGCTAGGGATTTAGTGCAACTTTCTAGTTTCTCTCATCTATCTCCAAGGTCCAAGGCATAATTACAAATGGTTCTTGTTTAGTGTTTCAAACACTCACTCATTGTACCTTAGATCTAACCCTATCAACTGAGACAAATTTTCCTACCAATTCAATAGCACAATGGTGTTAGCCTATTAGAACCCAATATTTGCTCGGTCCTTTCACCTTACCTCTTTATACCCTCTTTTAAGACCCCCAAAATTTGAAAAAAACATAATCAAATCATCCTGAGACTTGCCAAAACCCAAAATTTCATCTTTCTAGTATAAGTTGAACATCAAACATCAATAAACTCTAATTAATGAGAACATTGAGATAAACATTTGATACTATATAATCAGTATCCCAATCAAACACATTCCTTAGACTTGACTTAGGTAACTAAAACTTAGTTATACATTGAATTTCATGACCAAAATCCAAAGATCCATTATTTTATCATACTAACATTTTTTATGGTCCTGATCTACACAATATTCAAACCTTAACCTCACAAAATCAAATCCAATACATTCATTGTCCCAAGGATACCAAGATACGATTAATTTCAAATCTCACCTCAAATTTATGGCAATTAACCATAATATTCACAAAATTCCACTTTGACAACCTTGGATGAATAAACTAGACAACCAAGATCAATAAATTCTTTTTCAAATCTGAACCTCCCACTTAATTTTTCATTTTACTCTATCCTATACACCAAATTTCAATTAAAATTTCCTTTGTTTAACTATCTAATGAACAAAGGTTCCAATTCGATGTTCATGATTAAATCACACAAAAAATTATAACCCAAGCAACCAAACCACTCTTATTAATTCCAAATTCTTCAAAATAACCCACCTACCCAATTCCATCTTAAATTCCTTTGTTTCCTTCCAAAACAAGCAAAATTCTATTCTAAGCCTTCTTATTTGTTGATAAGCCAAAAGCTAAAACCTTAATTTTAATCAAATCAAGGAGAAATGTTGCACAAGAAGAAAATGGAGACTATAAACTTTTTTTCATTTGAAAATCCTTGGCTATTTCCATGAAAATACTTTCTTAAAAGAGGATCCCAAGAATGTGCTCTAATCACTTTATAGTCCCAAGGGACACATATCCCAAAGGGCCAGAGAAATAAATAGGATCTGATTCCCAAAGTCACACTAACCAAAGAATATTCTAGAATTTTAGTCTCATGCATGTAATCTAGTTCCCGTCCACATCTATAAATAGTGAGACTAGTCTCTCTCACTCTAAAGTCCAATCCATCTTGACACCAAATTCTAGTATCACCCTTCCCTACTTCCTAAAACTCTAAGCCCATCCTTATTCCTATTTGCTTACACAGGATTTTAGCAGTACTGTTGGATGGACCCGGGCCTGAGCTATAGCCTTTTATTGTAGGTGCTAAGCCCAGGCCGGCCCATGATCACCCCTACATGAAAGTTGAAATTCCTCCCAAATAAGCATTCTACGTGAGGTAAAAGATAAAACTAACTAAAATTCTAACACTTGGGAATTTAGCAAAACAAATCACATGCTACTGTCTTGGTCTTCTCACTATCCCCGCCCCACTAAAGACCCCAGTCTGTGAGAGAGGGGCCATGGGCATGGGCATGAAGGGAGAGAAGGTCTCTAACAGAGCACGGCTGACCGGCCAAGGAGTGACATGAAAGCCAACATCGTCTTCATCGTTGAGGACAAGGAATGGATAAAGGCATCAACTGTGAGCAGTCTTGTTTGTCTTGGAACACGCACGTGGACTCAACCTCCTTCTACCTGCTCAGAAAAGAAACAAAGGAAAACATGGACATGACCACTCCCAAAGGCAAAGCTGCTGCAGGCTAGCTGCACTCCAAAGTCCAAACAATCAGACTCTTAACTTTTCATCAACCTCATCCATTCAAAGGATTAAAAAAAAAGAAAGAAAATTCAGAGAGTGGATAGACGTGATGTGACAGCCATTGACACTTTTCAGGGCTCTCAGCAATCTTAGGCCACTCCCTCGTTCACACATGCACCAGAAACCTAACCCCATGCATCTGTTCAGACAGGTTCCACCATCCATCAATCAAATATTAATGCTCCACATCTGTTCTCTTTCTCTCTCTCTTAAGCTTCTCAGACTCCTATTTATATGGCCTCGAAATCCCATCCCCTCCCAAGGAGGAAAAAATAAAATTCTTTCATTTGGGCTATTAAGCATGAAAGCCATTTGTATCATTTTTTTCTGCTTTCTTACAGCTGCTGCCTTATATCTTTCATCCATGAGCAGCAGCCATGATTCTTCTTCCTCTTCTGTTGAAAGATGGCTTGCAGGAAAGCGGCATCGCAAAGAATTAAGCACATCAATGTCAGACAAGCGAGATGAGGACTGGAAGATGAAGGTTAATTGATTGACAGTTTGAAATTCCATCAAACAGAATTAGTTCTCTAACGCGTCCTTTCTACTTCACTTTTTTTTTTTTTTGTCAAAACTGCAAGTGAAATGAAAGAAACTGAACTCTGGTTAATGCAGGTTGTTAACAAAGAAAACATCCAAGAAGGTTCAACTGAAAGAGACTGCCGGGGAGATGATGATGGAGATGAGCTGGTTTACCATGTTGACTATCACGGTGTGACAACGCATCCTACTCCAACATCTCCAAAGCATCCCTGAAAGGCCATCCCTGAAGTGGGTTCACTTTGAATTGATAGAGTCTATTGTGTATTGGCTTCATGATATCAACATATAATTTAGCTATCCATACTGTTATATTCAGTGGTTTGAACTGAATTTGAAACGCTCCCAAGTGACAAAATCTTGGGTTTATCCCCATAAATTGTCACCTGTTGAAATGCATCCAAGGACAGAGAAAGATATGTCCTCATTGTTAAACTCTGCTGAGAGCTTGTTAGCTTCTATATATTATCAATTTCCTCTCAGGACTGGCAAGATTTTCAGACTTTTAGAACTCTTCCCCAAACACAATCAAGGTCGCAGATTCAAACGCAAGGCCTGTACTCTCGAGATGAATTTAAAAATCTAATCAATTCTAGGTTAGATCTATGGCAAATTTTAATGCACCACAACTTCATTTCTTTCTTCATTTCTTTTTAGGGTGATGACAATACCAAATTTAAACCAACGCAATGCAAACCAAAAAATTTAGGGTTTAGGGTTGGTTTGAATGTAGTGTTAGGGTTGGAAAATGCAATTAAATTAAGCTGTTATTTAAGTCAGGTTCGGTTAGGATTGATGTCTTGTGTGACCCGACCCAAACCCGATGTATCACTTTTGTAATTATATAATCTTGTACATTTTGTATGATATGACGATGCCATCTGGCTCAGTTGGTAAGATCTCTGACCAGCAGAGACTTTATTTTAAATTTCATATTAAAGATTCAAATGAAGATTGACAAAGGTACTAGCTAGGGAGGAGGATCATCCTCTCAAATTGCAAAAGTAGACACTTTTGTATATAAAAAAAAAGTAGAGACACATTTAATAAATTTAGCAATCGAGTGAGCAACCCTGTTCACAGATGGAAAGTTTTGATAACTTCTCTCATATCGATCATCTATACTTGGTAGACAAGACCAAAGGGGAGATCGGATCTGCTCCTCACAGAATGCATCTCACACCGACCTCACTACACGTTTTGGTCGTGCATCTCTGGAACATCTCCCTATGAATTAAAAATTTATAAGTATGAGATGTTCCAAGTGCACAGCAGAAACGTGTTGTGAAGTCAGTGTGAGGCGCACTCTATGAGGAGCATATTTGAACTCACCAGACGGTGCTGATAGCAGAAGGCGATCACGCTCAACCATAATCAACATCCATCACCTACTTCTAGTAAATTGGAAAAGTAAATGGACTTAGACATAGTATCACTTGCTAAGTATGAAATAAACAATAGGATTATGCAATCAGCCACCGCATAGTAGCAGTAGTGCGATGGGATAGATGGGATTGTAGCACAGTAGCACGGAAATCATAATGAACTTTCTTTGCAACTTTACAACACAATTACATGTCTCATTTTTGTCGCAGCAAAATCCTATGGCATTGCATCATGCCTCAATCTTGTATAGTGAGACAGTATATGCCCTTATTTCCAATTAGGTTGATGTGTATAGACAATTCTATATGAAAAAATCAGTACATTATTGTTTCATGTTCAAATTGGTGTGTTTTTGTGAATTATTCCTTAAACTGGACATTATGAGATTTCTGTTAGTTTAGAATGTTCTCAACTATTAGATAGACTTGAAATGTATATCCTAATAAGGCTGACACTAATGTACTACTAAATTGGCGGAACAGTTTATCTTAGTTACTTGGGTTAGACCCCAAGCATAGTCAGTGGGTATTTGGAGGAAATATTAAACCTGGATTAATTTCTAATTATTCCTTAGACCTTGGAGATAGATGGAAAAAATTGGAAAGTTCCACTTAACCCCGAACTTGATTATGATACTACACTACGTCTTGGACTGAGTTGCTTTTGATATGCCAATCAGTGAGATCCATTAAGGGCCAAATACCTAGGCATGTTGAAGCAATTTATGAAATTACCTGAGTGGGTGATCATAGTAATAGATTTGGCCCATTTGTCAAACAAAGTGAATATCAGGGTTTACACTCTATTGAAAACCTAAATTGCTGATAGTAGATTTGAATTGCTTTGAAATCTAATTTGCAAAATGTATTTATATATTATATTATTTTTAGAAAAAAATGTTTACAAAAGGTTTTAATCCTAAGATCCATCCAAGCAGAGAGTATGATACTACCTTTTGCAGTCAAGGAAGAGGTCATTCCCTGTGAATAGTGTTTTGACTATTAAGGGATGATAGGTTAAAAATAAGAGACCATTAGAGGGTTGATAACCTGATAGGCTTTATCTTACATAAGTTCATTATCCTTGGATTTTCATAGGGTGATTGAACCTAAGGATCTCTTATGTTTAGGTATTGGGCAATTGAACTCATGTTTATTGGCTCAAGGGTTCATTACCATTAGGTAGTGAATTTGACCTATCCCTTTTTGGGGATGGGCTGAACTCATGTGGACTTGTGTGAGACCTTTATGGGTCCCATGCCACACAATATTTAGGCCTAAGTAGCCATGCAATGTCTAGAGAAGTGAACCATTAAAGAATATGGGCCTTAGGCTCATCACTAATGAGATTAGTTTAAGTTGTCATGTGACATAGATCAAATATGGGTATGGATATGGACAAGTCCTGATTCAAACTTGATTTGGATCAGCTCCTAAAAGAATTAGGAGAATGCTCCATATAAGGGGATAAGAGGGAGGGGGCAAACCATTCTATTCTCCCCACTCTTCTACTCTGTTTCTCTCCTCCCCTTGCATCCTAAAAACCTAGTTTGAAGCAGCCATAGTAGGAACTAACTCATCAGTCCTCTGCTGTATTTTTAAAGAAAAACATTAGAGAAGTTAAGGTTCACATAGGTACATCATTCCAAGAAGGTAGGAGCTCAGTTTTGCTGACATTGCATTGTTGAATCAACTTCACACATACAGCTGCACCATCTTTAGTTTTGAGGCTTATTTGGATCAATATTGGGCATGAACTACCACTCTGGGAGTTGCATTCTGTGGACTTCGTATCAGGTATGTTCAGTTTGAAATTTGGTTTCAAATCAAATTTGGTTCAATGCAAGATCAATCCAAACTTCCAGATTTCAAAATACCGAGAAACTAGTTCTCAAGTTGAACTATAAATTTTTTTAAAAAATCTGGCCAGCAACTATAATAGTTCGACCATGTTTAATCAAGCTTTCAGCCCTTCCAATAGAGACCATCATAAATTCTATATCATGCCTTTGCCCTAATAGTGTGTATCACGATTTATCATAGCTCCACATAGTCAATTGTCCAGACAAGTTTTTTTTTTTTTTCTTGCTTCATGGGGTTACACATTGGGGAGCAGCCCATCCCCCTCTCTTAACCCCCCCAACCCGGGTGGTAATGGGATTTGATCCCAGTTCTCTACTCCCACAAGTTAGACATCTTACCAACTGAGCCACCATCAATTGGTTCAGACAAGTTAATACTTAACATTTTCAAGTTAAAGCCTCTCTCAGTGCAAACTCGCCTGAGAACTCAAAAGGGAAGTAGCAGTGCTTGTGCTCACATGTGCAGTTCTAGAAAGAAGGGGGATTCAAGCACCTAAGTAATTGCATGGACATGTCACGAGACTCCAACTAACTCAGGTGTTATAAATCTAACAACTTTGTAAACGACTCTCAAAAACTTTCCAAAAGAGAAAGTTCTCAACAAAAATATATAGATAGGGGATCTCCAAAAGACCCCCTCACACGTCCACAAAATCCCCTTGCATAAGTTTTACTGCTATGCAGCCTAAGAATCCTTTTCTTCCCACCCAAAGCCTCCTTCCCAGGTCTTAATTAGATCTTATATCTGAGGTTTCTTCTTCTACAACCTTTCTCTTTCTCTCAACCCTTCTCAAACACCTCCCACAAGGCCATCTACCATCTTTTAGGAGTTCCCATGTTGGGAATGAAATTACCACTAAAATCTTGATCAAAGTTGCATAAAAGATGAGTACATTTTGTATTGAGTAGGGAGACTGGCTACCCCATTGAGTAGCTCCATGAAGCCAAAAAATCAGTACATTTTGCATTTGTAAAATATTTTTTGGTGAGAAGGAGAAGAGAAAAGATGAATATAAAAGGTGGTTTGTTTTATTTTATTATATAATATAACGTCTATGTATCATTTGCATATGTCTACTTGCACAAATATGACAATGTTCATTTATAACAAGGTTTGGAATGCTGATATGATACGATTGCTTTTTTGTTGTATCATATGCTTATCGTTCCTTATCAACCACTACACATAGATATAAAATGGCATTAACCACACGATGGCAGAATGGATTTTATTAATAATTTTCAGTTTCTTACCTCTAAAGCTTTCATCTTTATCTAGGAAGCCTGTGGAAAAGTTCGTGCCTTAAAAAATAGATTGAAATCTCACACCAGAAAGGATAAAGAATGTCATTAAAAAAATCTCTTCTCAAAGGAGTTTGGGTGCAAGAACAAGGTCTTTTTAATTCGTTTTTTTTTTTTTCATTTTATTCATTCAATCCTTTAAACTTCAATAGATCTACAAATTTGGTTGCATAGAGTAAACAAAAGTATTTTGATTTCCTTTTAGATTTGTGATGTTTTTACTTGAATCATTACATCTATAGGTCCCAAGAATTGAAGTTTTCAAAAATTATAAAAATACTTTAAATGATATTGGGGGCAGCAAAAAACTACAAGATGGATTTATTAATGATCTATCATATACCCATGGATCCTCTACAATTTATGTTAAGAAATAATTTTCTAATATTTTGGTAAATTATAAAAATAAAATATAAAGCAGAATAGTCATTTTAATAATTAAAATTTATGAATTTCAAATGATTTATGTTCAATGACCAAAGTATCAGTAATCTTGGATATATATATATATACAAATATATTAATAACACTAAATTGAAGGTTAAAATAACCACAAATAAGGTATAAATACATAAGAAATGCATCTTTTAATAATGGAACATATGAAGAAATACATTAAAATTAATATAACAGGATATGTTTATATCACACCATTTTATTAATAAATAAATAAATCAAATTCTCAACTATTTTGTAAATAACATTTTGTTTTCTGTAAATTATAAATGTGTTGTTATTTAATGTAAATTAAAATATTGATTAAAAATTTATAAAAGTATATAATCTTAACTTAAAAATATATCATGTCCATCAAGATTTCTAAGATACATATCGTATGCAAATTCATAAATCTTAACTACTAAAATAATTATTGTTATTAATATTGTATTTCTATAAATTTTTTAAGATTCAAAATCAAATTTTTATATAAATTTGGATTTAATAGATAATTC